TAATTCTTGAAATTCAAACATCATGCTAGCTTGTATGAGAAATAAACCAGCGGTTGGTTCGGGCGGTTCGATTGAAAATCCCGGTTATGCTCGACGTCGATAATCCGGTTAAATGGATAAATAATTCGGCTCGATTTAATAATAATAATCCACTAAAGCAATTAGGTAAATACTATCACATAATCAAATATAATACCTAACGAGCACGAATTAAATAATCTCAGATGAAATAAAATAAATAATATTCTCAAAATAATCTTGAACAAATAGGGCGCTACACATACCAACAACAAAAAACTATATCTGCAACTAGCTAGAACTAACCTTGCGAGTTCAGACAACTAACATAGCAACAAAAGACTACTAGCGTAGCAACATCAGACTACTAACATAGCATTATCAGACAACTAACCTTGCAACAACATAAAACTAACCTTGCAAACGATTAGATCTAACACTGCAAAAGCATAAAACTAACATTGCATCAAAAATCATATTTATCCATAAACAAAAGATAAATCTTAATTAACAAAAGAAATGTTGATTACATAATAATAATAATTTTTTTAAAAAAAAAAAAAAATGTTGATCTAACATTGCAGAATTTAGCTTATTAAGAATGCATCATACATACAACTAACGTTGCAGCATCAGAAAACTAACCTTGCGGAGTCATATAACTAACCTATCAAAAGGAGATAACTAACCTAGCAACAACATAGTACTAACCTAGCACTACTAGACAAGTAACATTGCACTAACAGACAGCTAACCCAGCAACATCACACAACTAACCTAGCAACAACGGACTACTAACATAGCATTAACGGACAACTAACCTTGCAACAGCATAAAACTAACCTTGCAATGCATAAAACTAACATTGCATCAAAAAATCATATTCATCCATAGACAAAAAGATAAGTATTAATTAAAAAAAAAGAAATTTTTATGACATAATAATAATAATAATAATAATAATAATAATAATAATAATAATAATAATAATAATAATAATAATAATAATAATAATAATAATAAGTTTTCATTCATCAACCAGCAGAACTACAAAAAAAAACATTCAGACTAAAATTCAACCTTCACCAAACATCAAACACAAATTCAAAACCATTACAACTTAGTTTCCAACACTATCATCACTACTTTCATCACCAGGCATGCCAGATCCGACCGCAGTTCTGGTTTCTTTCCTGCAACCATCAGTGCCAAAATGATAGACGATGAATGTGTTTGGACCTCGAAGTTGAAAACACATCATCTCCCTTCGTTGCACATTATTATCTCTGGCAAAATCGGCCTAGCCATCTGTAAAAGCAATGTTGGATCCAACACGGTCAATCACAACTGTCCATTTGAAGGCATCATCACTTTCATTATTCTGCAGGGTGCATTGTAGCGGAATAAAATCCTTGATGACCAGGCAAATTGCACGCGGGAGAATCTAGAAAACATGTATGTTCATAATTTTCAATTGATGAAGTAGAAACAAATTTGAAAACAACTATCGGGGGTCAGCATAACTATCACGAATCGCTCGATGTCCAGCAATCTAGGAATGCAGCCAGCCATTTCTAAAACATTATTCCACCTCATTAACCGATTCTTTTAGCACCAACTATCGTCAAAGTGAAAGAAGACGAAATTGTTAGCACTGGCCAGCTTGAACAACAAATAATCACCAGATTATATAAGGTTAGCATGAAGAAATTCCTCCCATCCATGAGTTAAACATATACTTTCACCCAACATTTCGACCGTCAGGTCCCAGGAGCGCCCGCAATTAAGGACGTCACTATGAACTTTAACAGAAAAGGGGAGCCGCACCGCACCAAAATATGCATCATTGGCAGGGGGAAGCACCTATTAATGTCAAGCATCATCAAAATCAAGTAGCTCAAATAACAAAAAGCACAAAAAAGCAAAAAAAAAAGCACAACATAATTAAATTAGCAGCTCAGAATGATTACCAGGAAATGTTCATTTGTGGTAGGAATAAGACTGATAAATGTCGGCAACGTTGCGATGTAGTTAGCCATTTTCTGATTTTGGATTTACTTCGCGGTTGCTGGGGAGGTTTTACTTTGCGATTGTTGGGGAGTTTGGGAATTCAGTAGTTCTTGATATGTGGTAGTAGCTAGGGTTAATGTCAGCTCTTATATAATCAGCGGCCAACACAACCTTTGACCTACCCGCCCGTACCTGGGCTTCAATTTATTTGGGCTTTTTAAGTTAATGTGTAATATAATATTTGTTTTGGAAAAACTTTTATCCAAACAAAACAACTAACCTAGCAACTAGACATACCTAACCTAGCAACACCGGACAACTAAACTAGCACCTAGAAACAACTAAGTTAGCAACTAAATACAACTAGGCATAACTAACCTAGCAACTAAAGACTACTAACCAAGCAACTAGACATAACTAACGTAGCAACATCTGGCAACTAACCAAGCAAGTAGACACAAATAACCTGGAAACAAGGTAGAACTAACCTAGCAACAACAAAAAAAACTATCCCTTCAACTAGCTAAAACTAACCTTGCAGCTCCAGACAATTAACATAACATCCACACACTCCTAACATAGCAGCATCAGAAAACTAACCTTGCAATAACCTAAATATATATAACCTTGCAACTGAATATATCTAACCTTGCAACAACATAAAACTAACCTTGCAACAACATAAAACTAACATTGCAACCTTGCAACATCAGACATTTAACCATGCAACAATAGACTACTTACCTAGCAACCAGACATAACTAACCTAGCAACATCGGACAACTAACCTAGCACCTAGACACAACTAACTTAGCAACTAAAAGCAACTAACCTAGAAAGACCTAATAACTAACCTTGCAACAGGGGAATAGTAACCTTGCAAATTTAGACAACTAACCTTGCAAAAGCATAAAACTAACCTAGCAATAGAAATACAACTAACCTTGCAACAGATAATTAGTATAGCAACAACAGACTCCTAACATAGCAGCATCAGATAAATAACCTTGCAACAACCTAGATATATATAACCTTGCAACTGATTATATATAACCTTGCAACTGAATATATCTAACCTAGCAACATCGGACAACTAACCTAGCAACAGGATTGAAATAACCTTGCAACCGCATAGATCTAACCATGCAACAACAGACTACTTACCTAACAACCAAACATAACTAACCTAGCAACATCGGACAACTAACCTAGCACCTAGACACAACTAACTTAGCAACTAAATACAACCAACCTAGCAAGACCTAATAACTAACCTTGCAATAGACAGAAAACTAACCTAGCAATAGACAAACAACTAACCTTGCAACAAGGGAATAGTAACCTTGCAACTTCAGACAACTAACCTTGCGAAAGCATAAAACTAACATTGCATGAAAAATCATATCAGCCATAAACAAAAGATAAATCTTAATTAAAAAAAATCATATTTACATCAAAAGTATTACATCAAAAGTGTACCATCAAATCCAACTACATACATACAAAATCAATTTTCTTGGAAATGGAAAATCTTTATCCTCTTCTTTGCAGGATTTATCTCAGCTTGGAATGCATCTATCTTCTTCTGATTCTCTGTTTTCACCTCGTTGAAGTCATTTAGGACAATTTCCGAGTAGTACTTAATGCGCATTTCTTTCAATTGCTCCGGTTTGTCCTTTATAAGACCACTCTTCCAGTTTTTAGAACCACCTCCATAATATGTTTCCATATGCCGCATAACAAATACCCCACAGTCAATTTTGTTTTTGGCATCTCTCCAAGGAAAAGCAATTCTATCTATACTCATGCTTAAGACCTTGTCTGACAAATGTGAGAGGATTCTGGATCTGAAATATCCACCAAGAAAATCTCTCTGAAAAAAAAAGAGAAAAAAAGAAAACAATTATTATAAATCTGTTAACAGTGCATGATATAATATGTTGAACTATATATACAATGTTCTAAAATTAATTTAAAGAGATTAGAGATTATTACCAGATGCACATGTGAGACTGGTATTTTGCAAGGGAGGATCCCGACAAAAGAATTATCCAAAATATGGATAGCATCTTCCTTAAAATCAAAACAGACCACATACAAGTGCTTGCTCTTGCACACAGGGAAGAAAATCTGATAAAAAAACAAAAATTATATAATATTAGCATGTTACTAAATAATTAAACTGATCAATACCAATTTAAAAAGAAAATTACCATATCAATATCTTCAAGTTTATCATCAAATCCTGATGTTCTTAAATCATTAGCCATACTTTCACAGAATAAACGAGCTTTAGATTCAACATCCCATTTCTCATTGGGCATTGGAATGTTGTACATCTGGAAACAAATGAAAAAAATATGTTATGAAATAATAAAGAAAATATAACTAAACCAGCAAATATAAACAACTAACATAGCAACTAGGTATTAATAACACGCAACTAAATAGAACTAACCTAGCAGTATTATACAACTAACCTAGCAACAACAGACAATTAACCTAGCAGCTTCAGATAATTAACCTAGCAACAAGAAACAAGTAACCTAGCATTATGAGACAACTAACCTAGCAACAAAAGAAAACTAACCTAGCAACATCACACAACTAACCTAGCTACAAGATATAACTAACCTAGCAGCTAGACACAACTTCAGACAACTAAACCTAGCAAAACATCAGAAAACTAACCTAGCAATATTAGACAACTAACCTAGCAACTACAAAAAATCTCAGCAGATTCATGAGATCACTGGGTTTGCGCGCGGAGATCTTCCCATTACCTACCTCGGTGCCCCTTTATATAAGGGTCACCTCTCGAGAGCGCTCTTTATGGACATTAGACAGAGGATGATCGATAGGATCTCGGGCTGGTTGCATAGACACCTTTCTTTCGGTGGTCGGCTTGCGCTGATCAAGAGCACTCTTAGCTCTCTTCCGCTTCACTTGCTCATGGTCCTCGACGCCCCTAGGTCTACTCTTGACGAGATTGACCAGATCATGGCTCGTTATTTCTGGGGTTACGAGGACGGTTCCGGGAGGGGGAGACGTACCCACTGGGTGAGTTGGGACTCTATTTGTCGCCCTTTCGCTGAGGGAGGCCTTGGCATCCGCCGTCTTAGGGATATAGTTACTGCCTTCTCCTACAAGTTGTGGTGGCGCTTCAGGGAAGGAAAGTCGCTTTGGGCCCAGTACCTTCGCGGCAACTACTGCCCCAGACGTGCCAACCACCCTTGTTGGGTGACGGCGGTTAGTCATGATAGCAGACAGTGGCGGCGCCTCACTAGGGTCGGTAGGCGCTCCCAGGATCACATCTTTTGGGCTTTGGGTGAGGGTGATGTTAGTTTTTGGGATGAGTGGTGGTTAGGTGATAGGCCGTTGTCTAGCGATAGGCCAGTGTCGCATTCCCCCTACCTGCTTGTGAGCGACCTGTGGACGGACGGGTCGTGGGATAGGGAGAAGCTTGATAGAGAGTTGGGCTCCGGGGCGGGCTTTAGTGAGCAGTTACTAGATCAGATCCAGCAGATCCCTATCTCGGGGGACGGTTCGGATGGCATGAGGTGGAGACT